GCTGCTGTTGCACGGGGGGGGGAAGGTACTCCGGCTGCTGCTGTTGGGGCGAGTAATGGTAAACGCCGTTCGCGTGGGTCACCGGATTTTGGTAAACGCCGCTCACGTGCGTCACCGCATGCCCCCCTGTAGGTGGAGCTGTCGTCGCCACCGCCGTCGCTCCTGCTGCTCCTGGCGCTACCCCCGGGTAACCATCTCGGCCGTATTGCTGCGCCGTATTTGCCTGCCCATACGAGTGTGCCCAAGGCGGCCGCTGGCTGTACCTACCGGCCGGCGGCCAGGGCGGCGGGTGCCTGGGCGGCGCGTTGCCTGCCGGCATGCCAGCTGGCCTTCCGACATCAACACGCGAAGGGCAGAACAGGTGGTTGTGGCCGAGTTCACCGCAGTTCTCACACCGCTTGCGAGGGTCATTCGGGTGGATGGGAGGTTCATTTCCCTGCGGGCGGTTCATGTTGGGGGGGTAGGTGCTGTAGTCGTAGCCTTGCTAAGGTACAGGGTAGGCGGGGAGGTTGCTGCCCAGCGGTCCCTGGTGAAAAGGGCCCCTGTCCCTCCCACCNCGACATCAACACGCGAAGGGCAGAACAGGTGGTTGTGGCCGAGTTCACCGCAGTTCTCACACCGCTTGCGAGGCTCATTCGGGTGGATGGGAGGTTCATTTCCCTGTGGGCGGTACATGTTGGGGGGGTAGGTGCTGTAGTCGTAGCCTTGCTGAGGTACAGGGTAGGCGGGGAGGTTGCTGCCGGGCGATCCCTGGTGAAAAGGGCCCCTGTCCCTCCCACCGGAAGCGGTGCCACGTCCCCCGAATCTTCCTCCTGCCGGCTGCTGCTGATGACGTCCTTCTCCAGAAAAGCCCCGGCCCCCATGCTGGGGCCCGTGCCTTCCGCCGTAGCTCGCACCTAGGCCGTGTTCGTGGTAGCGGCATCGACTCAATGGCGGGGTATATCTGATTGGACGACTTGACTAGCGGGACTGTCGTTGGAAGGTTACTCCGGTTCTGCACGTTCCGCTGTGGAACATTCGTATAAGTATCTGTCGGGAAATCTGTTGGTGGTTTGTGCTTTTCTCCGATGTATTTGTGGCTCGTAGGAAGAGTACAACTACCCGTGATCGGGGAATCGGGATAGTGTGATGTGATTCGTGATCGGGTTGTCGGGGTATTGCAATCGGGCAGATAGGGGTGCTGCACGCCCTCACCTTGCCCACTCCCATTCCAAACCAACTAATAAGACCAAGTCTCAACTATCCAACAACCTCCTCTCTACAAGCCACGAGTTTACCAACAGGCCGCCCGAGGGACCTCCCCAACCCCGCTGCAAGCGACATTCCTCGTTGCTGTGGGACGGGGAGTTGTGGAGGTCACAATATTTTATTTCAGGCGGGTACGACGGCGGGTATACTTGTTGCTGCTGGTTGAAGTACGGCTGATGCTGCTGCTGTGGCTGCTGCGGTTGTTGCTTCTGTTGCCGCGCTGCCGTCCTCCGTTGTCCTCTCGTCTTCCCCAGTCCCCCCGTGTTCCCTACCCCGCCACTACGGTTCTCACCGCCAGTGACGAGGGCACAAGCCCCCACGCTCTCCTGCTTCTTCTTCCTTCGCGCCTCCATCTCCGCCCAAGCATTCACTCGCTGTTCCAGCCGGCCGAGCATGCCGGAGATCGCCTACATCGGGGGGCATGTCCACGCTCTCTGAAGCGGGACACTTTTCTTCTTTAATCTTCTGTTGTACTTTTTTCTCCACCTCCTCTTTGATATGCGCCGCTAATGCTGGGCGATCCTCCTCAGTATAGCTGCTGAGGTCGAGGGCTTCCTCCATTGTCTACTTTTCTAGCCGAACCCTTTTGTAGCCAACCTCACCTCGGGATCCCGTATGATATCAGCACGCTAGCGTATTGGGATGATCCGAACTGGGGGTAGCTTGTCGCAAGACGTGTGTTGAATAGGGTGTCGGCAACTCGGCGAACTCGCGCCAAGGAGGAAAGACGTGTAGGGTTTGTTGCATAAACTTCTTCTTCACATGAACTCACATGAACTTACA